CTTTACAAAGTTGCATACAATTGCACAAGAATTCATCCAATTTTTTCCCAGAATGCTTAGTGGTCCACCTTCACATATTTTGACATAAAGACACATAAGCCAAGATCCTAAGCTAATTTCCCAGGGACCCAGCGCCACCTGGCCAGCTGCATGCATCTTCTACTTGGCCATCTTACTTACTTGGAGGTGTTTAAATCATAAAGCTGAGATCTCACGTAATAACTGAGCTAGAGGAAGTCTGAAAGATCTTATAAAGGCATAAAAAATCCAAAATTAGGAAAATAAGGAGAAGGTCTGCTTTGAGGCAGAGGCTGTTTGTCACATAACATGTCAGTGCTAAAATACCTTGAGAGAAAACTCCAGTTACACTCTGGTTTCAAATATTTATCTGACTGATACCTCCAATTAAGTAAAACCTAAAACAAAACAAAACAAAACTCAAAACCTGTAACACTTATAGGAAAAAGAAGAACCTATTAACTATCTGTTAAGTAAGGATAAATACAGTCCATTCTTCTGTGTAATACTACTTAATTTTGAATAATACCTATAGTCCTACCTGTTTACCTATATCTACTTCCCTCTTCCATCTGGGCTTGTCTGCTTCTCTCACACATGATAGCACACATTCATCTCTTGTTTTTGCCTTCTTTATCTATATGGTTTTATAAAAACTTTTGAGAGGTATCCATCATCCTATACATTATTTATTGAGATTATACTTAAGGCAGAATTTTGAAATTATAATAGTATTTTTGGGAAAACCATTAGCAAAGAGGGAGAAGGTGAAAATTCTATAATTTCTTTAAAATGTGACTCAACCAAGATCTCATTTCTTTGACACTCTCCTGATTGAGTTCCATTTTAAAATGGTTTTTGCTCTAATCAGTTTTCCAGGGAGAGAAAGAAAATTGTTTATAGAGAAAAAGGTCTTTTGTAAACTAGATGTGTGAGAATGAACCTCCGGATAGGAGAAAGGTGACCCCTTAGCCTGGTGGCATGTCCTAGACACTAAACTATATGTCATTAACCTGGCTTACACTGGAATTTGGTCACATCAGCCGTAAAGTGTAGCCTGGTATATATGGAGGGAAAAAAGGGAAGGCAGATAGGCCAATGGGAGAGCATTACCTTCATTAAAAGCCCAAAACCTTCCTTTAGAGTTACATTTTGGACCTGTGTTTATGTGTGGTCTTTGCCCCGCCCCCGCCCCCTCCACAGTGCAAGGGAGGCCACTGTGGTGGCAACTGAAGAGCAGCCCAGTGGGGCAGCTCAGGGGGAGCATTATTGAATGTTTTAGACAGTTGGAGGAAATTCAGGTTTCTTTAGATTACTGTAATCAGTCAATAGGGAGAAACTTGGGAAAATGAATCACAGATGCATGTTTACTTTGGTCCTGACTTGAAATGAAAGAGGGCTCCTGAGCCATCACGGAGCGCCTTCCTGCGCAGACCCTCCTCCCGGACCACTTCCTCGACCACTTCCTCGCGTTGCCCTCCTTCACCTTCCCTGCCCCCAACCCCTCTCGGGTCTCTCCCCTTTTCTCAGTTCCCGCTTTTGCTCTCCCTTCTTCTCTAACCTTCCCTTCCTTGCTTTGCCAATCTTTCTGGCTTTTACCTCGCCCGTTCCCCAACCATTGTATTCTTCTCTATTGACCATGCTTTAGGCAAGTGCCTTTCAAAACCACTCCTCAGCCCCTTGTGGCAAGAAAGGAGCACATCTCCCCCGCCCTTCCCCTCCAAGAAAGCGGTTTTAAATGAGAACCAATTCCACAATTACTGACAGTTTCTATTTGCATTTTCTGGCTACTAATTATTTCAATCCAGTTCATTTAAAGGTTTCTTGACTGACTTTGTAGTTAAAATATGAACAAGGCTAACTTATTTTTCTCTTTGCATTTCTGAATAGAATGTGTTAAATGATGAGAATTCCACACATTCTATTCTTCTTTATCTCTTCTATCTCAAAGGAAACATCCCTTGCAGGATGTTTCTTTTATATGTTATACTTTTATTTCCATTTCCTCAGCATTGTTCTTGGCTGTGAAAAGGTAGCCTTTTTAAATAGTGTTATAATATCTGCAAATTGATTTCTATCATCTGGATACGCCAAGTTACATATTTCATTTCTTAGTTATTGGACTCAGGGTGTATGTCTCCAAAGAGTAATGCCAAAGCTTCTGATGCAGTGTGTATTTCTAAAAAACGGGTCATGATGAATTTGCACGTACAAGACTTTCTTACATTAACCTCAAGTCCCAGCTTATCACATTTTTATATTTTCTGAGGGCATTCGGGACAAAATATCCCTGCCTTCTGCACAGTGTTGTTATTTTTATAAAATCAGACTTTTGCCATAATGAATATAGTGGGCCCCTTTCTCTTGCAAGAGTAGATTATCCCAGCTGTGATCAAAAATCCACTGAGGAAACTTTTACACCCTTATAAGCTAATGACAGTCTTTCAAGTATTTTCTCTACAGAGTCTTTCATCTGAAAGCAAATGGATAATTAAAAAAAAAAGTCCATTTTTGAAATAGTGATCTACTGGAATACATGTCATACTTAACTAACCAGAAATGTATGATAAAGAAATGAAATTAAATAATCCTACAGAGAAATATATATTAAATCATTTCAGTTTATAGCATCCAGAAATAATGGTGTTAACTTTTTTCTCTAATTCTTTAACTGATTATGTTTTTTAAAAATCTACAACCTATATTTAATATTTTAAACGGTGGTTTTCAGTGGACAGACATTCTCAAAATGTACTTAAAAACTTTAATGACTCTGGAGATATATGTAAGAAGCATATACCATTACATTCCTTAAGGCTAAAATAAGCACTCCAAAAAATTACAGAATTTAAGTTAGTCATTATTGAAGTTGTTTTCCAAAATCTCATATCCATCAGATTGAACTGTAATACAATACAGGATGATACATAAAATAGGAAAATATTTGAGCTACTTTTTAACTTTTTAATGTTTATTATATCCTTAAAAATCACTGTATGTCGGAATCATAAATATCAGAAAAACATCTTTAGCAAAGATTAGAGGAAATTCATTCTTTTCAATATTCCCGAGTCCTTGAATTCCTATTACTATAGCATATTTTATCCATTTCAGTTAAAGAGAATATACCTTGTAAGTATATGTGGTGAACTACCTATTTCTCTTCTTTAAATACTTACTTATTTTTTGTTATTTTGGGGGGGTTAACAGATAATCGAAGTAAATTCTCCCAAAGCAGTAACATTGCATTATGAAATATAGTTATCTGCGCTAATAGAAGGGATGTGAGTATGTGCGTGTACGTAAAATCCTTCAAGAAGCTAAAAACGTTGCACAGTTAGAAAGAATACTCATATTCACATGTAAAAGTATTAAATGGGATTTCTTAAACTAGAATAAAGATAGAGTTTTCTAGGTGTGTTATGAAATTCTGCTGATTTTTTAAGGACAGTATCACGAGCAGGAAGGAGAATAAGAGGTCAGGTGACTGCCCACCAGCACATCAGCAAGTTCTGCTTTCTCAGAGTTGGACTGCTGTCCTTTTCTTTTTTTTCTTTTTTCTTTTGACATTCCTCCACTATCTGCAGTCTTTCTAATTAATTTCAGATTTTGTGAAACAGGAACTGTCTTCCTGGAACCAGTTCAGACGCTTACATACACACAGATATTATATTCATACATCACATACACCATTATGCACACCATTTTATGACCCATACATTTTTGTTCCTTAAGATTTTTTTCTAAGAATGTAGTAAAGGAACACTAGGTGGAATATAAACCCCAAAGAATTTGGATAACATCTCCTAGAATGAATGTTTGAAATCGGTAAGAAAAGACACCTGGTAAGACCTTAGATGAACATTTGACTTGCGTCTGTGACAGAGCAGTTTCCCTTCAACCTCTGAAACACCATTGGCATTCGGCAGCCTCAAAACTAACCCGTGATCCACATCCAGCTGATTTCACTCCCCAAAGTATTAAAAACAATTAACTCTAAGTCCATGCTCCCATTCAGTTTTAAAATCAAATCTGAATTCTTATTGTTTGCATATCTTTGCTATCTAAGTGGAGAAGAGATGGATGTCTTAATAATGCCATTTAATTTTAATTTAAATATTGTTATGAGATAGTTTCTACAAAGTCTTCAGAGAATGTGCAGCATCAGTTACAGTTGGGAATCCTGGATTCTAACCTTGGTTTCCTGTGTGACTTTGAATGTTGATTTATTTCCTTGCATCACTTGTTTTACTCAGATCAATATTTTGTTTTGGCTTCATTAGTCTTTGTTTAACTAAATAAGATAGTCTGATCATCTCATTCAAGGGTTATTCAAGTGTAATGTCTAGTACTATTTACTTTTATTGTTATAAATATTGTATTATTAAGTGCTGTTCTCTTCCTAAGCAAAAATTTATTAGTATAAGCAATTAATTATAATGGGCTGTAATTAAAATTTATTAGTATAACCAGTTAACATACCAATACAAAGAAAAATACAGTTTTACTTCAGCAAATGAGTTTGTTTGAATGCATGCTTTATAAAAAAACACTACCATCTATCTTGTTCACCTTTTCTCTCGGAGGTGGTGGGAAGCTAATGTAAAATAGTGGCTCAATAAATAGTATTCCAAGACAAAAGTTTAGAGCAATATATTTAGAGATGCTCTGCTTAAATTCAGTATGCCGCATTGTAGATGGACTCTTTAGGCTAGAAGAAAGATTATTATCTCCATTTTCCCCTGTCAGGTAGAAGTAACATATCTTTTAAGTTATAATTTTGTATCTGCTTTTTGCTGCATAATGGTATGTACATGGAATTAACATGTAAATTCAATTAATATTGACCAACTTATTAAAAATAGGATTAGTCATATAACTACATGCTCCATTTTTATTACTTTACTATTTAGACGGAAAGCCAAGCCTTAAAGTAAGGGCTTAATATTGTTCTCTAAAATAAAACCAGTAATGTGACCCACCTCCCAATCCTGGTCTCAGGCGGTTGTCATAACCGTCTAGGAGCCGATCCAAAATCCTGGTGAAGACAGTGGTATTGTCTTTAAGTTCATCTTGTAATGAGGGTTGTCCATAACTGCAAAAAGCATAAAGGGAGGTGATATTTAAATTATAAATTTCTACTAAAACCTTTCCCCAAATAAAGCTTTCCCCAGATTCTTCTACCGTCCTTCTATTGAATCTTAATTTTGAAAATCCCTTCTGGTAAAGTAAAAAAAAAGTCATATCTTAATTCCTACTATTTTTCTCATACTTGTTCTCATGGGTGATAAGTTCTTTATTATAATATTTCCAACTATGGAAGGAAAATTACCAGGAAATGAGTTCTGTCTCTTTACATTTGTAATTCTCAGCATGCACACAGAGCTCTGATGCATTTTTTCTGGGCAAGTGGAAATGTTAATGCACGCTGGAAAAAAAAAATCTGGAAGACTTTGTCCCAAATAAAAAAATATATATTGATAAGCTACCAAAATAATTAATAGTCTTATTTAATTTAAGATAAAGCATAAGCCTAAGATTTTACCTCCTAACATCCCTTTTTTACCTACTTCATATTCTTGTGTGTGTGTGTGTGTGTGTGTGTGTTTTGCTTTTTTGATGTTCTTTCAAGATATTAAGATGAGAAAAATAGATAAAACTTGTTTCTTAGTATAATTTTATTTTTTACATGAGTGTGGCATTTCCATTCCCCTTAAGATATATGAACCTATTTTGAAAATTTTATAATTTGTTTATTCAAACCTCTAATTAATTAAATTTTTGTCATTTCTTTTCCTGGAAGTAAACAGTCCCTTGAGAAAATACATGGCCCAATATTCTTAATTTATGGTTTACTAAACTGTAGTGCAGCATTAGTGTTTAAGAAAACACAGCTATTTGTGAGCAGAGCTTGAACTACAACCCAATTTTCTTCAAATTTTAGTCTAAAACTTTATTTCTGTGCTTGTATTTAGGAGTAATTATTTCTACTTAAATATTTATAATTGAAGATGTAGTTACTATTCTTTTCCATTACTAATCTTTGAGTTTCAACGGCATAATGACTGCAGTTCAAATACTGTGTATTTCTTACATCGATCACATCATTATCTGTGCTCCTTGGATCATATTTTATGTAATGATTAGGATGACACTTCCAAAATCCTATGAGAGAAGAGACTTCTATTTTAGGATGGATCACACTCACTGTTATATTTCAGTGATAGCTCTGACCTTGAGTAAAAGAATGTGAAATAGAGTATAAACTAAGAAACTGCCACAAAAATATCACTTTCATACTTTCCATTTAATGTGCTTTAACTCCACTCTTGTCTGTTTATATTACTGATCAATCTAAGAAAAATTGTAACATGAATCCAGGATTCACTGAATTTATAGGGGTAAGATATATAGCCAAAATATCATTTTAAAAACAAACACTATTATTTAGGTAATTAATTTTATAGCAGCACAATGTAATGACCTTTTTTTCTGGTAAATTTTAATTTAATAAAGTTATTATAACTAGAAGCTATTAATGATATTAAGTATATGAAATGTACTTCTATTAAACAATTTTTCATTCTCCTAAATTCAACATCAGTAATCATGCAGATTGAGGATTTACTCTCCTTGGACACAATTAGGCATCTTACTAGTTTTTGAAATCAGATTTCCAATGAGATCTGTGTCTTCCAGAATTTCTCATTAGTAGATGACAGCAGTAAAGCAAAAATAGTTTTCTGAGTGCAATTATTTACAAGAACTCTGTCATAAAACCAACTGCCATGCATGCATCTTTCAAGGGTGTTGGAAGGTCATCTTGATGAAGACAGAAGAGAAATGTTAGCACACCTTAGGTTGTGAGCAGGGCCAGGTCAGGTAGTTTACGGAAGAAAGCAAGACATTGAGAAGGGGGGAGAGATGGGATGGGCGACATGACAGAGCCAGACCAGGGGGTTAGCGTGATTCTTGGAGTGTGCAGTTCTCTTTACTTTCATCTATATTCTCTTTGTTTTTACAGCTTATTCAAATTCAGGAAATGCTCCCCCCCTCCCCAGCTTTATCCTATAAACGTTGTTTTCATCATTTTTTTTGCATTGGAATACAAATGCCAAAAGACATATATCCCCCCACTCCCAGAAAACCAGTTCTGCTACCCTAGTTGGAATGGCAATTCTTTTTTAAAATGTAATTTTATAATCAGGTATTCTTTATCTTTACTTCTGATTTACTATGTCCAATTGTAATTGTCGGAGAATAGCCTTAGGATAAAAATTATTTATTTGCTATTAAACACTCATGCCAATGTAATGTTTCTTAAACTAAATACATAATTTGAAGAGAAATGTCAGTTACAGTACCTGATTTTTATTCCATGTGAACCACTATATAATAAAACACTGTGCACTAACTCCATCTACAGGTCATTACAGTAGTAACACTTCATATAATTTTTCAAAAGCAGTGAAGAACATTTAACTGCTCAGATTAAGAGTATAAGGCAATAAAACATTTCCTATTCATCTGGCAGTCATTATTTACCACTCACAGGAGGAAAAAAATAGAAAGAACTTCTTCATTTTAAAAATCCTCCTAAACTCATAGTTCCCTCTTCTATCTCTCTACCTTACTCATTAGGCTTCACTTTCCATTACATTTTGAAGAACCTTAGATTTTTATAATATGTCCAAGACTCTCTTATGGGCCACAGGAGTAGAGTACACAAGAAATACAAAATCAGATAAAGAAGAATATGAAATAGTTGGTCATTTATATCATTGCTACTATAATATCTTATATGCTTGATTGAGTCATTAGCAAATACTTTAATATAGTCAAACATATTATTAACTATTTCTCATAACTTGTCTCCATAGCAGTTATGCTTAAATTAAGATATTCAACTTTACCTAATATTCTTAAATATATTTTTCTTATATTTTACCTCTACTGGCTATATAAATAATATTTTCAAAACATAATATGTATATGCTTTTAATAGAGACTTATGACTTTCAAATTGCAAATACTATTTTAAACTTCACTTCCATATAGTTACAAGTTTTTCCATGATTTTGTAATTGGCTAAAAATTTTCTTGTTGAAAAATCAACTCACATAGTATGCAGCCATTAATTGGGGTAACTTTTCTATGAATTGGAAAGCTGCAGGTTTTGTTCAGTTACAACTGAACAGTAGTGAAAAAAAGTTGAATTTAATACTTAAATGTTGAATTAATACATTCCTCAATAAAACATGTTAAGTGTATTCAAACTAATGTACAAATAAGATGATTATTTTTTCATACTGCTCTTCTTTATTCTTAGCTGGGATTTTATAGCAGTTAAGTTTTCTAAATTCCCTTAGTCATGAATTCCTCCAAGGGTAATTGTCTTCCCCCTGAAAGAATAAATGAAAAGTTACAGAAATTCCCATGCAGATTTAAAATAAAGTTTCCCCACCTTCTTCCAGTCAGTGTGCTCAGAAGGAGGGTCCAGGCCCAAAGGTGGTCAGAGAGACCCAGGCTTTTCTTCTTCATCGCGGGCTTGTGCAGCTGAAAAGTAGAACAAGTAGAGATCAATGTCTCTTATAAGAAACATCAGGTTGTAACCACTAGGGCTGACTGAGGCAGCTCAGATGAATGCTTTGAAGTCAGGAAATGACCTCACTGGGATATGACACCTCATTGGAAGCAATGGGAACCTGGACCATCCGTTCTCCACTTTCCCTTCCATATCTCCATTCAGAAATATATCAGTATCTTAATTTCTCCTGTAAAAGTATTACAAGTTGAAATGCTTTCAGGTGACAATATTGCTCAACATAAAAACTGTGAGTTTTTTTTCTCTAGGTTTTATATTTCCAATATAGTTTGCATTACTCTCTTCTAGTTTTTTAGTCATCTGAAAAATTTGACCTTTCTGATTCGAGTTCCCGCAACTAAACTGTGCACTGCAATTTTTAAGCTGGTGTCTGTCACGGAGAGGGCATGTTTCAGGGCTGGAATGGGGTAGGTTAACTTGCTTTGATGGCTGAATTCCTCTTAGCATTCTGAATGTATCTTGATTTCAGAAGCAACTCTATCTTTAAAAAAAAATAGGAAACACACTGTTGAATGTCAAAGTCGTGCTTACATTTTCTGCCTGTGATTGCCTTGTTAAATATGTTCACTAATGCTTCTGTAAGGCTAAAGGACACACTTTATAGTCCAGCCATGTGCTGATCTCTCGCACACACATACCACACTCACATCAACGCACACCAACATGCCTACACATATCTTTCAAGCCCTCTCGAATTTTGCCAGGTTGCTGCTAGAAAATGTTTCATCTCAAACAGATGGAAGCTGAGTGCTTTGCTTTGCATAAATAAGGGACTCTTTTTTTCCCCCCTCTTAGGTAAAGTGTAATCAATCACCATCTGATTGTTGAATTTAGACTTGGTAGTGGGATGCTTGAGAAATGGAGTATGGAAAGCTTAGAGAATTTTTTAAAATTATAATCTATTTGTAGAGTCAGTTTTTAAAAACCTGTGCCCCACCTGGTTAGAGAGCAGAATATGGTAGCACTTTATTTAATGTGCTATAATTCATTCCAGTCATAATATGAGAAATGTTCAAGGTATTTGTTAGCACTTTCCTAAATCTACAGCAAGTCTTTTAAGGCATATTTTTCATTAAACACTCTATAGTTTAATGCGGTATGCCTTTAAATACATCTACACAAATGCTTTCCACACTCTCTGGTATCATTTATATCAGTAAAAACCATTACAAACAGGCATGTAAGCAATGAAACATAATGTGTTTAGAGTGAAATGATCTAGAGATAAGAACCGTGAGCTTCATAGTTTTTAGTTAATTTAGTGTCTGGCTCTGACACAGATGGGTTGCATATGACAGGAAATATTAGATAAATTATATTATGTTAAAATATTGCATCCAAATTGCACGATTATAATTCATCCTTCTATTAATCTTTGACATTTGCTATGAAGGAAAAACAGTTTATCTTACCCTATTAATATTTGCTGGTTTTTATTTTTAAAAGATAATTCCTGAAAGGGTAAATGAAACAAAATAAAACACAGTCCCAAGGCAAGGTACCATAGCTGTTTGTCCTCCTCTGACATTTTAAAAAGAGAAAAACAAGCCTATCATGCCACTTGAGTTGTCGAGTGAGAAAGTTTCTTGCAAATACAAACATAATAGTTTAAAAGAAACACTAAGCTTCCTCGTTACCCCTTTCCACCTTAAACCTCCCCCCCACCAAACACATACTCCAAAAACCCATATCCCATCCCACCCATATCAAATGATAAGTTGAGTTTTTGTGTTCAGAATAGGAGAGCCCCCTACACCAGAGGGCATTTCAGCAGCGTCCACTGAAAAGGAGAAAAGAGGCATTTTTGCAGCCAGAACGAGAGCATGCCTTCCCCTAGGATGAAACATTGAGACAGGTTTTCTGTCCCAGTGTTCTTAACTTTAGACTGTGCCCACCAACGCCCCTCCCCACCGAATCCCAGCTCCCTCTTGGAAGAGAGGAAAGAGAAGAAAGACCAAAACAACAGGTCACCACCCACCCCGTGGAATAAATTCAAATCTGCTTAAGAAAGGGGGACAGAAAAGAAGAGAGGATAGAAAAATAATGCTCCTATATTGCTGCGGTTCTCAGCCTGAAAGAAAAACATTCGTTGTTTCTACCTGCTATGGGATCGGGCTCTTGTCCTGTTCCCTCTTTCTCTTTAGCATTCCAGTCTCTCTGGCTAGGAAGAGCCGCCCTCAAAGATCTGTGCGTTGCGGTCCAGAGCCGCACTTACCTCGGGCCCCCTCTGGGCACAGGATCGCTCCAGACCCGGGAAAAGTCTGCGAGAGGAAATCGTAGAGAGCCCGGAGCCAGCGCGAGTCCGCGAGTCCGGGCGCTCCGAGCGAGGGGCGTCCTCGCCCTGCCTCTCACTCACTCGGTCTGAGCCATCATGGACTCTGCGTGCTCCTTCGCCGAGGATTTCACACCCAAATTTGCTTCCCAATATCCAGTCTGCAGCTATACAACAAAAGATTTCTCTTTACCAAGACAGTAGTAATACGTCCCAGGGCAAACCGGATGTGAAATAGGCGGTGACTTCATGCCAGAGAGATTTTATTTTAGAAAGGAAGGTGGTACCAGCCTCTGGATCTGGAGACCAATCCGCCCATTTTTTATATGCAGCACAATTTAACTTGCACCGCTCTGGCCCTAATCCCCTTCTCTCTAGCTGCAGACCCAAATCCTTCTACGGTCTGCTGCGAGCTTTCCCTTTTTGAGGGGAGTACTAATGGGGGAGGGAAGGGAAAGAGACCTAGGACCAACACTCATGATTTTTTTCACACTTTCAATTTAGGAGCACGCTATTTTAAGGTGTGCCCGTTAAAAATAAGGCTTCTCGGTATAACTATTCGGCCTTTTACCAAATATTTAACCACTGTATGCATATGAATGAACGCAACCTACGAAGAAACAGAGAGGCAGGGTACACATGTGGCGAGCGCGCTCCCCTCTCGTCCATCTCCCTCACTTGCACTCCCACACACATGCCTGAGTCCCCGTGCCTTGCACAGTCACGGACGACGAGGAAAGGCAGGCAGAGTTCTGGCCAGTAGGGAATCCGCTGCCGGGTTTAGAGTCTTTCGCACTTGCACAGGTTGTGAACGCTTTCTACCCCAACCTTAATCTGTAGCTTAGAGGACAGGAAAACGCGCTCCCAACCCAGGTTTTAACCTTTGGATGCAAGCGTTTCTCGGTTTGTTACGATGAAGAAAACACAGTCTCTGTAAATATGAACTGTGCTGGGTTCCGAGGGCACAGTTCACATTTAACTTTAAGTCGCCCAGATCCTTTCTAGGTTTGAGAGTCATATCTTCATTTCTGGAATCATTCCTTTGCCTCCTACTCCATCGTTCTCCTGATTACGAAAATGGGAGAGGGGGAGGAGAGATGAACAAAAAGATTTTTAAGTCAGGACCAAACCCTCTTCAGCTTTTTACCTCTGCCCTCTTCTGTTACCCTCCCTGGTGGCTCTCCACCCACAAATAATTACACGTTTAGTGAAGGAGGGTGTGTTTCAGTATCACTCTAACTAAATTTCCAAAGAAAATCAGGGAGGGCTGTATCTGCTTGGATTTTGTGAATGGGTGTTTGTAGCAGAGAGGAGATGGGTGCTGTGTTCCTGGGATGGCTTACTGACATGACCTCAAGCCCTGGGAGCGGTTCCTGCAGCACTTTCGCGCGGACTAGGTAGGAGGAGCTGAACCCATGGGATGTCTTCAAGTAACACTTCTGGTAAACAAAGTCCGAACTTCGGACTTTGGTGAGAGCTCCCTGGCCAGTTTTTCCCAAGAGGACTTAGAGCAGAGGAGCTCTTTCTGGTAGGGCGGAGCTTGGCTAAGCAAAGGAGAAGCCTCAGTGGCCGATCCATACCTCTCTTAGGTTTTGATCCTACGAGTGTTCCTTGACCTTGCACCAAAATGCAATCGTCTTACGTGATTAAAACTTGAGGCAGGCAACTGAAGACCACATTCTCAGTTGAGTTTGTTTATCTTCTGAGTTTTGAAAGAGAAATGTTATTGGGCAATTATTTCAGAAATACATCAAGGAAAGGAAGCTTGAGGACCAGCTTATGGTACCCTTTCCTGTTTCTGGGCACGAGTTGCCTGTTCGGTTCACACTCAACACAAATTAATGTGTTCTTACAGATGTTCATTGAAGAAACATCTTAGCTTCCCTTTGTGACAGGACCCAATTTTTATTTATTTATGTGCTTATCCATTAACTCAGTTATTTATTGAGTAGTTCTGAGAATAAAACTCATTTTAGTGAGGTTTAAAAACCCTAGGTAAACAATTAGAAAACATGGTTTTCTTACCTGAAAATATATGTCATACAATTCCATAGCTTTGTTTTGATTCAGCAAAGACTGATAGTCCTAAAAATATGATCTTTAGTCTATATTTCTTCTCTTGGGTGAATTACCACAGCTTCTTCCACTCTCCTCTACTAATTGAGTATAACTTTATTTGCTGTACCTAATGGATACTGCCAAATCACTCTACTGATTGTTGTCTGAGCACAGTCACTGAAACTTTGCATTTGAACAGCAATCTCTGAGAACAAATCCAATCATATCTTGCTTCAGGCTTAAAAAGTCATGTAACTATCCAACAGTAATCAATTGCACAGTTTTTCCATACATTTTCAAATAAATATTTACATGTAACAATTGGGTATATCCTAAAACCCAATTCAATATGTAACATACATATTGAAATGAAAATATCCGTACTTAGGCTTTCTATTTCAAATTCTCTCACAGGCTAATTTTTACTAGATGGTGTATGTATAGTTTGTTCTGGGATAGGTATGTTTTTAGTAAATAGATGTAATAACTTGTGGGCATTTAAAATACTGATAATTTGACTACTCCAAAAACAGCAATTGAAACTGTAAATTAATTGTGTTATCTAAGGTATTATTAAGATATGCACATAACACCAAAGAATAATATATAAAAATTAAGGGCAAGGAAATACTTTATATTGTCTCATTAACTGAATCTTTTAGATAATTGTTGTCATTCTTCTTCCCCCTCCAGGGGAGTAAGTCTCTTCAAGGTTTGTGTGAATCTGATTGAAGTTTTGAAATAATAATAACTATAATGTTTAATATTCTTAAAGTGTTTACTTGGTGGCAAGTAAGTGCTAATCAATTTGCATAAAGCATTTAATTTAATTCTCAAAACATGAAAGTGAGAGATAGTCTTAATATACTCATTTTGCAAATTATTCAATAAATTATGAATTAGAGGGAGTGAGACTTTCCCAAGGTTGTACAGCTAGTAAGTGTTCACGCTGGAATGCAAACCAGATCTTCTGACTTCAAGGCTTATTCTCTCAACTACGCTTCTGCATCACTTCACGTCCTTACTGTGTGGTAGTGAGTTGAGGTTAAAATCTGTTTTATTCATCTTCTATCTATGGTTGACCATCTTCATCTCAGTCCCATAAAATCTGCCACTGAACTTTTTGGAAAATACTTGTTCACACTCAGATTCTTTGTTATAATGATCTAGTACATCCAGCTGAATGTAGTGTCAGGCTCGCGTTAGTATTGCAGAGGTTTCTGCTGCTTCCCTTCTGTCTTGTGAGGCCAGTCGCAAAGGCCTTTCAGTCACTAGCTCTGGGCAGAAGGGATTCGAGGTCAAACCCAGGACCAGGGATCCTGGGGAGGCCGAATAGCTCTATTTCTAGTGTTGCAGTCTGGTACATTTTGCTTTTTCTGTCAATTGTAAATGGCAGGAAGCCCTGACCTAATTGAAAAAGTGTACTGATTCTTTTCAACAGAAATGTTTTTACTTTTTCCAACTAAATGTGAATCAAATGAGGAAAAAAAATAGTAAAAATGTTCTTATTAATTCAGTGTGGTTTTTATCATTTACACAATAAGTTGGGGTGAGTAAAAATTATAAAATATCAAGTAAGCTTCAGCTGAAATCTAGAATAAAGTGGTCTTTTTCAGTGTATTTGCATGGCTCAGATATTTACACTGAAAGTATATTTTAATGTTAACATTCTGTGAAACGTGGTTATCCGTTTACAACAATAAGGGTACAGGTTGCAATTAAACATGTTACCTACATTATATACGCATACTCACATATTTATAAAGAATATTTACACTCACTAAACCAGTCCTTTTTTTCTCATGTTCCTGTATAAAATAGAGACCATCTTGTTAATGGGGCATACTAGCACATCCAGAGAGCAAGCCTTTCCTTTATACTTGATATTGAAATAATAGCTTAGTTTGGAAAAAGGAAAGAACTGTGATGTAAATATTAGAGTGCTTTTTGTATCTCAACCTAGACACTTTTTTTCATGTGGATTACTTAGAGAAATTCTTTTGCCCAGGCTGAAAGGTTAGTTTAACATCTCAGTGTAGTGAGAGGCATGGTAAGTATAGTAAAGCAAAGTCAAATTTCTCCCAAAATATTTGAGTCATAAATATTTGGCACTCTACAGGGACTTATAAGTTGTTTGCCCCAACCACTCTGACAGATTGCAAATTTTATGTAATTTTTCCTGTGATCTTCGCAGAACTAGAACCAGAAGTAGAACCCAGGTTAGCATGGCACAGTAAATGCTCATACATGGGTATATGTCTGAAGTCCCTGACACCCAGTAGCTCTGTGACCATTCGTATGTTATTGAACTTTTCTGAACCTTACTTTCTGAAGTTTTACAATGATTTAATAAAAATAAAAATAAAATCAGGTAATAGCACCTTGTTAGCTGGTTGTGGCATAATATGGGAAAACATAGACCTCTTGCATAACACGTAAGAGGCATTCAATGAGTGCTGTTTCCTACTATCTCTTCTATCTGAACACAAATTCATTATTTTTGAGCATTTTAGTGCATCTTTTACAGCATATTCATGCAACTCATAACACTGATTATATTATGCACATCTTGCCTAAGATTTAACAGAAACACCAAATTTTCAGTTAGATGAGACACTACGACAGACTAGCCCCCATGCTACCTTACATCCTAGGCCTGTTTTTTGTCAATAAGATTTTCAGAGAAAAAGAATGCTTTTCATTATGCCTGCCTTAGGCATAGAATATTTTACATATGCTCTAAGTGAGAGAGCTTTGAAGGGCGTCTTCCTCAAGATGAGCCATGGCACGCGCTCAGGCCGCAGCTGCTGCAGCCAGCCACAGACTCTCCCAAAGGCGCATGTGCCTCGCTTTCCCATAAGACTTAAGAAGGACCTAGCCAATATCCAGCAAGTATAAAATATGTAGGTGAGAGACAGACTCTACATGATAGTCAGATAAGTAGACCTCTTTATCTAATTTTCTTCTGTGGCACTTTTCATTTATCAGCAACTCATGTGTAACCCAGATTCACCCATATTTCTTCGAAGTCTTTTCAGATTTGTCAAACCCGTCGACACAACCAGGAAAATGCAGATTTATTTTGAGTTAAAGGAAATGATACTATGCTGGTACTTGAAAGGAGTTGTTAATTTTAGAATATCAAATAAAATATCAGTAATTTCCAAAACTTTGAAGAACAGTTTTATACTCTAAATATCACTGGCAACTTGAAGACTGTAATTTAGTAGTTTGGGAGGTAAGAAAACAAACATTGTTTATTAAAATGTCACAGTTCTATATCAGACATTCTAAAATGTTACATCCTATATGAGTTGACTGAGGAGGCATGTATTCTTTATCTTTATGGAGAAAGTAAGACATTCGGGATATATATGTGTTTCTTTCAGCAAACTTCAAGTATGTGTGTGTGTGTAGTCTTTCTGTGTGCATACAGAGTCTCTGTGAACTCCTTCAAACCGTTAGAATCCTCATTTACTTACCCCTCTTTTTCTTTGTTAAGGTGAATGTAATAGATATTTAATCAGTATCACTTATTGTTTAGCATGAAGAATGAAAAATAAAGATTTAAGTTGGAGAAATCAATTTAGAGAGATTGCTTATCAGAAGTAATTAAAAAT